CTCCCTCAGACCCACGAGGGCTGCTGTGGGGTGGGTGGCACCGTGCGGACAGTGCCGCACGCTCTGCCTCGCCGCCCGGAGTGGCTCTACTCCCTGAGACCCAGCTTGGCTGGGAGTCCTACACCCTCCCTACTTCTGCATCTGGACCTGCCCAGGTCATCCAGCTGCTTTAAGTGATGGCGGTTGCTCTTCTTAGTTGGGCTGTGTTTATCCTTCGGGATTTCTGCCCCCAGCCTTCTAATAGCTCCTGTCTCTTTTTATCAGTGGTTCTTGCAAACATTTGTTAGTTCCTGACCAAGTGCCCACTACCTGGCAAATGATTTCTAATCTGCTACAAGAATTCTCCTCCCCACCCCCTAAAAAGCACTGCAAAACATGGGAAACCAAATTTGTTCCCATTTGTTTTCTTCTGCCCCCACCCGAGGGTTCCCAGTGCTCATGCAGTACTCGGGTGGTGCAGTGACAATCTTGCAGGCGATGCTGCCTCAGTATCAGCAGTACACTTCCTGAGTGATGCTGGTGGGCAGCTGGGCTTGAGAGCTGCTAGCATTATCCTTGTCTCAAATTTGGGTGAGCCCAGAGTCCCCAGGGGGTCCTTGAGACGCAGATTACTGGCTCTTCAACCTGACATTCTGGATCAGCAGGCCTGGGACAGGGCCTGGGAATTTGCGTTTCTAAGGTTTTGAGGGGTGGCCAGGGATTGTACTGGAGACCTGCTGTTCTGACCTAACAGTTCAGGTGGGCTAGGGGTAGGGGTGACAAGTAAAGTCCAGTGTAAAGATGGAAGAAGCCCTGAGGGACTGTCATCTGGACTCTCTGTCAGGACCTCTGCTATGTACCAGACACCAGGGGCTGGTATCCACCCGTGCTCTGAAAGCTGACCTCAACACCACTTGGGGAACCCTGCTTCACTAATTCTGTGTCCCTCCTGCCTGTTATGCTTCCCTCTTCCTTCCCTTGTAAACATATTCATCTGTCTCCTGTCCTAAAAAGACCCATTTCCTCTGTCCCCATACCCAGCTCCCCCCTCAAGCTAAGCATCAGTTTGCACTCTGCATATTCTGTCTGCATCATCCCTAGACCAGCTCCTGCCATCCTTACATCCCGCAGTCACCTTACTCCCAAATCTTACAGGTGCTTGGCTGACTTTAGCCAATGTTTTGACACTGTTCACTGTCACCCCTAAGAGCTCTTCTTTTTCTGTTCATTAAATGCAAAACCAACAGTGGGCACATTCAGCTTAGAACCAACCAACTCCAAGCAACAGCTCTACTGAACCTTTTCCTGGCAACTTCGTGGCCTAGACTGGATTTAGTGCAGTCTGCCCTCCCTCTGAAGTTGGGGACCTCCATCCACCCTGTCACCAAAGCCAGAAGCTCAGTGCCACCCTCTGCCCCTTCCTCCTGCTGCCCACACAAGGTCAGTCCTGAAACACTGACCTGCCTTCCCTCCTGACCGCCTGAACCTCTGCTTGGGTTGCCATCCTTCTTTGTCCTGGATTCAAATTCGTCTTCTGACCAGTTCTCCAGTCCCATCTTCCTGCTTTCTGCTCCTCTTTCCCAAGACGAGAAACGAATCAAATTACTCCTCAACATAAGGTTTCCCACCCCAAAGAACAGAGACCCCTGAAATCCCACACTTCAGATAGCACCCAGGGTGCTGAGGGTAGAGGATGTTGGAGTCGGACCGTGCTTGCTCTCAGTTCTCAGTAGAGTCTGTCTTGAGTTCGCTGCCTGTGCTAGTTGCTTTCTCCTGGAAAACTGCTGTGCCCTGCTCCTGCTTTAGAAGGATTAAGGTAGAGTCAGCTTGGAGTCAGGTTTGAATCCTGACTCACTGCAGATAGCCTAGACTGGGAGTCAAGCCCTTGTTCTAAGGGGTCTGCCCGAGTTAGCACCGTGAATTTGGGTCAGTGTGGCTTTCTCCTTTAAAACGTAGAAGTTGGCTCAGCTCCTATAGCTCAACCGGCTAGGG